CGACGGTCGCGTGGCCGAGTACGGACCCCCGAGCGAGCTGCTCGCGAACGATGCGAGTGCGTTTGCACAGCTGGCCAAGCAGGCTCGATTAGGCTAAGCCGGCGATGACAAACAGCAATATATATAGTAGGAGCATGTGACAGTGTTGCGATCTTCTGTCATTGGCAATGGCTGCCACCCATGCACTGCCACAGTGAGATATCATGCTCTCGACGTCACGGTTTATGCGCTCGGTCGAGCTGCCGGCGCAACATGGCCCACCTGTCATCTCTCCGAGAAGCCTCGCCAGTCGGTCGTAGCAGAGGCTGGTAGAAGCTGGTAGCACTTGCATGCGGATGCTCGACTGCGAGAAGGCGCCATCGATGGCGGAGCCCTGGGTTGAGCTTCGTTGCCGAACAAAATTATTGCCGAACTTTCTATTCCGCTTGTATCCGGATGGTCATTTGGAAGGACGGGCGAAAGTCGCGGACCGGCGGAGGATGAACCAAGGCAACTACTATGCTGGCAACATGGGCGGCTACATGGGCGGCTTCATGATGAACGGCAATGGCATGCCATCGCCGACGCCTGCGGGGCAGATGAACATGATGCCACCGCAAGCAAGCGCATTCCTGCCACCCGAGACGCCACCGCAGCCGACGCCGTCGCCGGCCCACGACGCACGCTTCAACCGCGGCAACTACCGCTGCTCGCGCTGCGGCGAGCCCAAGAAGGGCCACGTGTGTCCGTACCAGCCCGCCAACTTCAAGTGCACAAAGTGTGGTAACCTCAAAAAGTCCTGTACGTGTGGCGCGCCGCTCAAGTGCAACGCCGAGGTGCAATGCGCCCTGGACGAGCACATGACGATCGCCAAGCTCGACTTGGCCGCGCAAGGCGTGACTGAGTTCCACGAGTCGGTACTTTCGTTCGTCGAAGGCGCATCGTCGCTGTCGTAATGTACAATCTCTTCTGCATTGGATTTTGGATTTTGGATGTTGGATTCTTGGACTCGGATTTTGAGTTCTTGGATGCTTGGATGGAATCGTCCAGATACGAGCGAAGGAAAACGTGTTAGTTGATAGAGATTGTTAGGAATTACTGCTGGAGCTTCTTGGCGATCGAGGCCATGTCGGTCGCGAGCTTGGTCGCGTTGCCGTCGATCCAGACGAGCGAGTTGTGGTGCACGTTGAGGACCTTGAGGATCTGCGCCATCGGATTCGCGCTCTCGTCTTCCTGCGCCTGCGACTGGTTGAGCCGGTCGATCGTCTCCTTGAGCGCCGTCGACATCATCGTGAGCTGGTTGTCAATGTCCACCGAGAGCTGCAGCCCTCGCTCGCGCTCAATGTCGGCCGTGTCGGGAATCTGCCGGTGGTTCTCAAAGAGCTTGTCCACGCTCGACTCGAGCGTCTAAAAACACACATGATGATACCACCGCGTCACCACCTTCTTCGAGTCAACCTCAAGCGTCGCGTCGAGCTCCAGCTGGTATGCGCTGATCGTGTCAAGGTTCGCGTTGAGCTCCTTCTGCGCCATTTGCAGCCGGCGAACATCAATCGCGAGGTCTCCGAGCTTCTTTTGGTTCTCCATGAGCTCAGCGTCCCAGTGGCTCACTAGACAGTACAGTCTGTAAGCCATGTTTGTATCAATGTATCGAGGACGCACCGCGCACAGCTTCGTTTGTGAACGCCATCGCGTGGTTCTCCAACTGCTCGCTCCACATGTTGATTATGTCCTAGAGCACACGTTGATGAGCGTGGGTACACGACGTTCAAGTACCTCGACCGTCTTGTCCTTGTACTCGGCGGGCAGGGCCGCTACAGAAAGATCGATGTCAGGTCCGTTCTTCAGGAACGAGGGGACGTACTCGTGGCCGCCGCGCTCGCATCGGCCGGCTTGGCCGCGTCCGTCGTCGTCTTGGCATCGCCAAAGCTAAAGCTCGCGGCCGCCGGTTTATCGTCTGCTGCCTTTTCCGCGGTCGCGCCAAACGAAAAGCTCGTCGCCGGCGCCTTCGCCTCTGTCGTGGCCGGCGTCTTGGCCGCATCGCCAAACGAGAAGCCAGTCGCCGCGGGCGTAGCAGCCGGCGTCGCCGTCTTGGCCGCGTCGCCGAACGAGAAGCCAGTCGCCGCAGGCGCCTTCGCATCCCGTGGTAGCCGGCGTCGTCGCTGCGCCACCGAAGAAAGCCAGTCGTCGCAGGCGCCTTCGCATCCGTAG